AGCCAGCCTGTCACCAGTGCGGGGCCGGTTAAGCCACTGAGACCATACATGTGTGCCTGGATATATTTTTAATGGGGAAAAGTCTGGAAGGATGTCCATTCAACTGTCACCTCCCCGGAGTGGAAGGGGGGCTTCCACTTTCCTTTTATGCTTTGTATTTTTTTTAAATTATGACACATTTTGGGTCATAACACAGATTTATAAAATGATAGTATGCGGAATTTTTGAAAAGACAAGCAAGAGTTGTTTAGAATTGTAAAAACGCTCACCAGGGGGCAGAAGAGCTTGTGTGTGCACGGGCTGTTTGCTCACTGCTGTTTACTACATTTCTTGTACAATTTCTTCACCAAACAGGCCATCTGTAAGGTTTGCCAAATCGCTAGAGGAAACGCAGCCCAGGCCTGTGGCTGACAGGCGTCTGCTGGGGGCTCTGCCACCCGTTTTAACTGAGTCCTCTGCTGTGGTCTCCTTGTGTGTGAAACCGCACTCCTTCCAGAGCTGCTTCTGAGCTCAGAGAAGGGAGGTATATAACTCGCCTAATCCGCACCAGTCAATCTGCTGCCCCCCTGCTGGGATCTGGGGGAGATACCCATTGAGATGATGAGCGGATGACCAGGCACCTGCTCCAGCTTTTGAGGTACACTCTGGACATCTCCCGGGGTCCTGTGCACTGGTACCAGGTGAGGATCAGGCCCTGGATGGCCGGGGGCCTGGGAGAAGGCGGGCCTCGTGTTTGCAAGAATGAATTATGAGCAAAATTGCAGCAAAAACAAAATCACTAATGCCCAGAGTCACAGAAACGGCCTGTCCTCTCTGTGGGCCTCCCGATGTTCCACACTGACATGACAGCCGCCTACCTAGTGAGCATGGCGGGGGGGCCCCGGGACCTGATAGGAGAGTGGATTTCATCTGGGTTGCATCCCCCCACACACACCTTTCCTCAATTTTCCAACTGAATTTGTTCCAGAACAAATGGTTTTACAACACAGATGATTTAAAACCAGTGCATTTCCCCCACGGGGAGCAGCTCGTTCACCTGCAAACCAAAACAGTGAGGAAGCCACAGCCAGCCGGGGAGTCTGGCGTCTTCTGGGATCCAGAGCAAAGTCCTGCCCTTGGGTCTCCTGCTTAGTGACTCTCCAGGGGGGCCCACCTGCAGCGGGAGGGAGCAGGTGACCGGCCTGGGCTGCTTGTCTCCTGGGATTGGGGAAGGCCGCGCAGAGAGCTGGGCACCCCGGGTCGCTGCCCCGCCCGGCCCGCAGCGCCCGCCCCGCCGGCCACCGGCCAAGGCTCCCAGCGACGCGCCAACCTGGACCAGGCCGGCAGGAGCAGTCCCGGCCCCGCCCCGGCCCCGCCCACCCGCCACCCCATTGGGCGAGGGGTGGAGCCCGGCTGGGGCTGGGCCAATCAGAGCGTATCTCCGAGGGGGCGGGGCGGGGCGGGGCGCGGACTGTGGGAGACGCCGGGGCGGGCCGCCCGTCTATCCCCGGGCCCCCCAACGTGGCTTTCAATAAACACCCCTTTTTGCTCCGCTGTTATAAAGCGGGGCCTGGGGCACCCGACCAGCAAGAGCTCCGGGCTCTGGGCTTGCACCCCCGGGGTTCCTGCGAAGGCGCCAGCCCGGGCGCCCTGCGGGGGGCGGGGGGCTCCCCGCTTTATAACGGACTCCACCTCCTCCTCCCGACCTGCCGCGTGTGTGCTCAAGCCCTGATCTCCAGCTGGCCTGCAGGTGTCCGGGAGCTGCCCCCGCACCCCGGCCGAGAGCAGCCCGGGCCCTACGCTGGCGGCCTGCACCCTCTCCCGCGGAACCCCGCTGTTCTGAAAGCTGAATGCTGACTGCAAAAGCCAAGAAGCAGCACCCCGGTGGGAAGGACCCCCGGCTCAAAGCAGCCAGGGCCTAGGGCTAGGGAAAGAAGCTCGTCTTGTGTGCAAACCATCCACGCCTGTCACCCCAAGCACCACCTTCTGGGACTGTCACCCGCCAAGCCCAAACTCGCCCTCTCTAAGTCACCCCAGGCGGCCTAGAGAGCTCCATTCCCAGCCACCAGCCCGTGCCAAACCCTGCACGCTACCCTGCCTTGCCGGTCCCCAAGAAACCCCAACCAGGGCCCGGTCAGAACCTTCCCGTCCATCCTGCTTCTGCCTCCTGACCCCCTGGTGCTCCCCAAGTGGGCCTACATGGCATGGCACGCCCCTCTTCTGGGGAACGCAAGTAATAAGTGCTTCCGGTGACCTGGCCTCTGCCTCACCACTCGGTCACCTCCATAAGTCAAAATCCCACAGGCTCAAATGAGACAGCCTTTGCCCGCCGGGAGCGCCCACCTCCCTGAAGGGGACAGCACTTAGCAGATACGCCTGTGGGGTGCGAGCCACAGAGAAGGGCATGGCAGGAGGCCCACAACCAGCTCAGGTGCCAAGAACCTCTGTGGATTCTGCCCCATCAGCCTCTCTTCCCCGACACCACTTGGAGAACCATCTTTCTCCCTTTCCTGGTTGCTGGCCCTAGGACACCGACTCCAGAGCTTCCTTGCCATTGCCACAATGGCCTAGACAATTGACGTACCCTCTTGCCCGCAGTCCTTGGCTCACAGTGAGGCTTGGACGCCAGCTCGTTTATACAGAGTCTGCCCCAGGGCTCTCAGGGAAAGAGACTCTCTTTGTCCACAGGGGGTGGGGCTGGCAGGCAGACCAGGGTCACCACAGTGGGGAGAGCCCATTTGAGAGCAGAGTCAGCACAGCGTCATGGCTTCAGGGCCCGGAGGTGGCGGTGCTGGTCTCAGGCACCCCTAGCTGCTGGCTACGATGTCAGGTTTTAGATGGAACAAGCCAGGCTGGGTCTGATAACAAAGCCAAGTGTCCTCATTAACACGGAGAGCCCACCCTACTGGGGGAGGCCAAGGCAGGGTCCCCTAGAGGTGACAGTTAAATTGAGAATTGAAAGATGATTAGGAAGCAACCAGGTGGTGAGGAGGCGAGAGAATATTCTAGACAGAAGGAGCAGCAGGAGAGATGGCCCCAAGGCGGGAGAACAAAGCTTTAAGAATTTGTTGCTCTTCCCTCCCCTGTGCATGTTCTGTAGCTGCAAACACCTTCGGTGCATGACCTTTATTAAATAGCTACAGGGCTCTTATTCACAGGTATGTCCATTTGTAAAGCTCTTTATTGTTGGAAAACCGCTGGCCATGGGATATGTCACGATCGATGAAATCCACGTTGTTACTCTCACCGCCCCCTGACTGGGTCCACAATTCAGCCTGCATTTCTACTCTGCACCCAGGATTTTGAACCTAAAATTCCAGCCTAGGAGGACAGGGGCCAGCTTTGGGAGTGTAGGGGAGGTGGGCTGGAGCCAAGGGCCAGGTTTGCCTGGCGATGAGGCCGCAGGAGAGCTGAGCCTGAGCCGCCCTCACCAGCTGCAAAGGAGCAATGTATCTGTCAGCCTTGCGGTGCCTTTCCGCCAGAGGACACTGCCCAACTCAGGACAGGGGGCTGCCCTCTCTGGCCAGCCTGCCCCAGCATCAGCGGGAGATGCAGACAGGAGTCTCTTGCAGCTTCCACCAGCTTTTCCTTCTCTGTGCACATCTCCCTGATCCCGTCCCTGTCACCCCATTATTTAATGTCCTATTTCAAGGGAAACAGGAGAGGAAGCTGGCAAAGTTGGTTCACACTACTTCTCCCTGTTCAAGAACAGCAAGCAGGGGCGGGAGAACCCCCATGTGTGAACACCCCTCTTGTCAATAAAACTTGCTGTTATTTACATTTGCTTTAGAGGCTGTAATGGTGCACACTCTGGAGGAGGCGTGATGGTGTATGTTTCGGGGGCCTCCGTGGTGCCTGACATGATTCCTGAGAAGGACCCTTCAAGCAGAGACTCTCTCCACCTCATGCCCATGTTAGAAAGGCCTGCAGACCCCAGGAGAGGTTCCCCACTCGGAGGTCAAACGAGCCCCAGGCATCATGGTGTCCTAATGGGTTGGACCCACACCTTGGAGTGGGGCAGACTCTGGGCTCTGGGGACACTGAGTCCTGGGCGGGGCCAGCCCAGACCTGGCCGGGCGGCTCCTGTCCTCAGGGGTTGCCGAGTCTGAGGTGTGGGGAAGCCACGTCCACCCCAGGCCTGGAGCTCGGGGCCCACAGTGGCCCTGAGTCCCTGGGGGTGTCAGACCTAGGCCTGGTCAGGTGACTCAGCTAGTGGGGGGCTGCTGAGACCCAGGCGGGGTGGGGGCGGGGGGTTGGATCCAGGTCCGGGCGTGGGCTATGGGCCAGCAGGGGCTGCGACCCTGGGAGGGATCAGCTGGAACGGGGCTGGAATGGAGGCTGGAACGGGGGCTCCCTGTCCCGGGTGGGGGGAGCACGCAGGCTCTGGACGGGCAGGCAACGAGCCCGGGCGGGGGTGTCGCTCTCCCGGCAGGCGTGGGGTGCCCGCCCGCCCAGGCGCTGTGTGTCAGGCGCGGGTCAGACCCGCCGAGCGCGCAGCCGAGGCTCCTCTCGGCCTGGGTGTGGCGACTGGGGTGCGGGGCCTCCCCTGGACACCCCCGCGGCCGCCGGCGGCGCTGGACGACGCGGGTGGAGGCGCGGGGCCCGCCGGGCGGGAGGCGCAGGGCCGACGGGCAGCGGGGCGAACCCCGCGGGGGTCGGCGGGGGCGGGGCGGAGCCGCTCCCCGGGGTGGGGGGCGGGTGGGGGGTGCCCGGGCGCGGCGCGGCGCCTCCGGGCCGGCAGGGGGCGCGCGGGGGCGGGCGCGGGGGGCGGGCGCGGGCGGGCGCCGGCAGGGGGCGCTCTGGGCCGGCGCGGGCTCGGCCGGCGCGGGGCGCGGACGCGGACGGAGCCGGGCGGCGGCGGGCGCGGGCGCGGGCGCGGGCGCGGGCGGGGGCGGCCGGGCTGGGGCGCCGGGCCGAGCGCACAGGCCGCGGCCGAGCCCGCCATGCGCGCGCGGGCCTGAGGGAGCGGCGCGGCGAGCGGGCGGCGGCCCGGCCCGGGGCTGCGCGCGGCCCGGCCCGGCCCGATGAGCGGCGGCCTCGGCCTCCGGCGCAGCCCGGAAATGTCCGGCCGGATCGAGAAAGCAGGTGAGGCGCGGGGGGCGCGGGGGGCGCGGGGGGCGCGGGGGGCGCGGGGCGCGGGGGGCGGGGCCGGCTGCGGTCGGGGCGCGGGGGCGCGGGGGAACTCGGGGCGCGGGGGGATCTCGGGGCGCGGGGGATCGGGGGCGCGGGGGGGCGCCGGGGCGCACGGGCCCCGCGGCCACCCCGGGACGCCCCGGCCCCGCGCACCCCGCGGGGAGGCGGCCGGGCCGCGTGTCCCGCGCGGAGCCCCCGAGCGCGCCGTCGCCCGGGCCCGCGGCGCGGGGAGCTGCCCCCCGAAATGGGCCGTTCCCCGGAGCCCCGAGTTCAGATTTAGCCAGAAGTGCCCGCCTCGGGGCGCCGGCGGCGGCGGGCTCCGCGCCTGGGCGTTTTCGGGGCCCCGTCGCGTCCCCGGCTCCGCCGAGCAGGCTTCGTGGGAGGGGGCGCCGCGGGGTGGGCCTGAACGGGGGTGGGGGGCGGCCCCCGCTCTTTGTGTGCTCCTCGAAATCTGCCGAGCTGCCTCCCAGGAGCCAGGCGTGCGCCCCCCCGGGAATAGCCTCCCGGGATTCGTCAGGGCGAGGCGCGTCCACGCACCTGGCAGGCCCAGCCCGCGGAGGTGGGCGGCGCCCAGGGCGCCCGGCCTGGGGACAGGCCTGGAGGGGCACCTGGTGCCAGGTGAGCCCGGCCGCTCGGGACAGGGGGCTAGAACGGGGCAGGCGGCACCGCCTTCGGCCTCGCCGTGTTGCCCTGGGTGACCAGGAGACTTGCTGGAGAGGCCGGAGACCGCGCGGGTGTCACCTGCAGGCTGAGGCTCCGGCACAGGAAAGCTATCTCGGCCGCCTCTGCGGAGGGCGTCTGTGTGTCCTGCTCGCTGCCAGGGCTCTGGTGAAATGCTTGTTAAATCCTCACGGGTTCTCTGTGAGGGGGACCGTGGTCCTGGCTTCCAGCAGGTTCCATGGCCGCCCCCCCCCCCCCAGCAAGGGGACTTGGAAATGCTGCATCTCCACCCCGAGCCCAGGTGTCTGCCTGTGGGCCGGGCCCTTGGTTTCAGGTCTTTTCTGGGGTGTTTTTCTCTGCTTATCAGCCCGGGGTGTTGCCCCGTGACCGAGCACCTCCCTGCACACGTGCCCTTCTGGGAAGGCCTCGGGTGAACAGGCACAGCTTTTGTCGGGGCCCCCTTGCATGGCATCTCGTGAGAACAGCCCCGCCAGGAGACTCAGCTAACCGGAGGAAGGTCTCCTCCACCGTCAGGACGTGCGCTCGCCAAGGCACTTGAAAAATCACCAAAGAGTAAAAAGTGAAATGAAAGCCCCACCATGTGGGAGCTGCCCCGGCCCTGCTCCCCAGGCCTGCGGGTGCTGCGGCAGGTGCGGACACAGCAGGCACCTGCCCTCGGCGAGGCACGTCAGGGTGGGCATGCCGGAGCCCCAGCCCCACCTGGCCACCCAGGTGCGTGAGCTGTGCTGTGACAAGCCAGGCCCGTGGGGCGGGGGGCCTGTCGTGGGCAGGGCTCTGGAGACAAGATAGAGGACCTCGGTGGCCGGGAAGAGGGGCAGAGTGGACAACCCGGCAGGGGCTGTGGGCGTGCAGGACGAGGCCACTTTGGGGAGAGGCAGCTTAGCAAGAAAGTTCCGAGGTTGGCCTGGCCCAGGGTGCCCCCTCAGGCGGCACTAGCAAGGGCCCCCACCTCACCTTCTGGCACAAGGGCTTTTGCTGGGATTCCTGGGACGCGCCTGGGGTGAAGGGTCCACCTTCCTGGTGGCTTCCACTGGCCATTATCTCGGCACTGGCCTTGCACGTCGACAAGGCTTCTGCTGGGTTTCCGTGGAGTTTTCTGGATGCCCACGGCTAGGTCCTTGAGGAAGGACAGGAGGCGGCACGGCCAGACTCCTGTGAGCGGGGCGCGGTTCTGGGGTGGAGGAGCGCGCCGGAGGCCGGCAGCTGGCGTTTCCCAGGATGGACGCGGCACGAGAGCGGCTCACATGTGGTCAGACTCTGCTCTCCGAAACCCAGCCCAGCGCGTTCACCTCGGGGTTGAAGGCCACCAGGGTGTTTTGAGACCCCAGGTCCCAGCCTGCCGCAGCACCTGCCTGACCACCCTCTGCTCCTGGGGGGCGTCTCTGGAGCGTGCCCTGCTGCTCCTCGGTACCTTTTCTCCCCACCTGGGGGCCTGGCTGAGGGCCCCCTACTTCCTGGGGGCCCAGAAGGGCAGCGTAGCCCGTGCTGTGTCCCGTGGGGTGGAGCAGCCCGGGCCCCAGAGGCAGCAAGCGTCACCTGGTGGGCGTGGCGGGGTCTCCCAGTGAGGCTTGACAGAGGAGGGTGAGCCTGGAGTGCTGGGCAAGGCAGGGTGGGGTGGCTCCCCCGGGCCCCTGGCTCCCAGGAGGACGAGGGGTGGGAGGTGTGTGAAGCCTGGAGGGAGGAGAGGGCCAGGCCTGCGTGGGAGCGGGGCCCTGTTGCCGCCTCCCGGAGACCCTGGCCAGGGAGCAGGCCTGTGCCCTCAGCGCGAGGGCTGGTGTCGGCCTCGGTGGACGTGTGGGCAGCGGTGTTGTGTCAAGAGGAAGTGACCGTCGACGTTTTGATGATCAGGATGTTGCCCACCAATCCCAGATCCAATTCTCTGGAAGAACGGCCCGCTCCCGGAGCCCCAAGCCCCGTCCCATCGGGCAGCTGCTCCAGGGCCCCATGCCCTCTTGACCGCCTGCTGTTTGCCTTGCGCCCCCTCCTTGAAGAGATCCCTCATGCTGTCTGCTTCCCCCTGGACTTGGAGACCTCTGCCCCGGCCCTTCCTGTGCTGGCTCACTCCCTGCTGCCTTAGCTCAGAGCCCACTCCGCACCCACTCACAGGCGTGGTCCTGGGCCCCGGGCAGCCGGGGTGAACAGGCCAGCTCCACACCACAGTGGGGCGCGCCTGGGAGGTTCCGAGGAATCTGCCCACACGGTGGAGGGTGTCCGGGCTGCTCCTGAGGGTTAGGGTTAAGCCCTCGGTGGCACCAGCTTGCCCAGTGCCCGAGGCCAGCATCCCTCTGGTGTCTCTGGCCCCGCGCTATATTTTTCTTTCTTTCCTTCTTTAAAGATTCTATTTATTTTTGTGTAGAACTGGGGTACAGGCCAGAGGTGCCGGGGGTGAGAGGACTCACCAGGGACAGAGTGGGGAGCAGAACAGGCGGAGCTACTGAAATCCACTGCTGAGGGGAGCAGAGGGGAGACAGGAGAGGTCTGCTGCGCCATGTGGGTAGCTCCCTGGGCAGGGATTGAACTCAGGCCGCAGCAGAGATAGCCTGAGACTATCCTGTAGGCCACCAGGGAGCCCTGTGTTTTTCAAAGGTGGGAAGATGCTTTAGTGGTAAATGACTGGGAGGCGTTCATAGTAACTTTTGGTTATTATGTATTTTCTCAGAAGAGCTACACAAGCGCTGACACAGGCTGCGGGGGTTTTGGGTTTTTTTTGGTTTTTGTTTTTTTGGGGGTTTTTTTGACCAAAAAGAGTCCTCTTAGATCAGTGGTTGCTGTTTATTGCTCCACTTGAACACCTCCCAATTTTTGCACTTCCCCCACCCCCGCAGTCCTTATGGTCACAGTGTAGACGGGGCATCGTATGCGTCCTGGGGCCGCTCAAGCCCTCCTGCCCGCGCTCTCAGGACACCTCCTGCGGGCAGTCGCCATGAGCCGCCGGGGGGCTGCCGGAGCGGGGCGCCCCAGCCGCCGTCCCGGGGTCACAGTCCAGGGTGACATCACAACGGTCTGGACCATCTCAGCGAGTTCCTGGCCTCAGAGCACTGGCGGATGAGTCGCTCCGCTTGTCCTCACTTGGCCTCTGCGGGCAGTGAAGGTCCAGGGAAGTCTGGCGAGCGGCCAGGGTCACAGTCCGAGGGCCGTGTCCCGGGACCCACCTCTGCCTGCGAGGGCACGGCCGAGCCTCCGTGCTTCTGGAGACACCGTCATTTTCTGGCTTAATCCTCTTCATGCATCTACATTTTTTTTTCTGAGCTGAACCAAAACAAAACAAAAATCACATTTCAGCTAAAAAGCCCGGCGCGTGTGGGCTGGCGACGCCGTCTTCTCGGCAGCCCCGAGAGTGGCTGAGGAGCGGCGCTCACACACGCGAAATGCTTTCCAGAGTCGCCACAGCCGCCCGATGTCAGCAGGCCCCCAGCAGCTGCAGGCAGAGGCGGCTGGAACGGGGCAGATCTGAGGGGCGCCTGAGTCTCGTGAGAACGAGCAGAAAACCCACTTCCAAGTCCGCCCCCGGAGAGGCCGGGCACGGGCCGGGCCTCCCCGGCCAGCCCAGCGTGTCGCGTTGCCATAATAAGATGACGCACTGGAAGGAGCGGCCTGGCGGGCGGCCACTGCCCCCCACCCCGGCGCCCCGCTGTGGGGACAGGTGTTCTCTGCCTCGCCCGCGCCTTGCCCCGAAGCCCGTTTTATAATTAAGAAAACAAACCCCAGCTTGTGAATTATTAAGGACACCGCCGTGGCATTTACGACACCCCGAGACTCGGCATGGGAGCCTTGGGTGGCTCCTTTTCGGGCTTCACCTTCTCCCTCTGTGCTGTGACGGGGGTGACACAAAAACGAGTGCTCCCCTGGGCTGCTTTAACGCGGCAGGCCTCTTGCTGCGCGAGAAGCCGTGAGGGGCAGGGCGGCCATTGGGGCTCGGCCCGAGGCTCCCCCTCCGTCCTGCATCGCACTCGCTGGGAAAGCCCACTTCTCGGCCAAGCCGCCCCTCCCGCGGCAGGCAGTAGTTTCCACGGGAAGCCCCACGAAAGTACTTCGGGTGGATGATATTGGTCGACTAGTTCAGAAACCAAAGCCCTGGTTTCCTTTCCGCAGGTTGAAAGTCAACCCAGATTGTCTTCCGTCACTTGTCTGGGAGGGCGGGCTGCCCGGCCCAGCGTGGGCAGCGTCACTGCGCGCACACCGGGCACTTCAGAACGCACAGAAAAAACTTAGGTTTCTGACTCCCAACCCCAAAATCACCCTTACACATAGCTGCTTCTGGGTTTTGAGTG